AATCAGTTTAAAAGACACAATCACAATATTATCCAGAACTGAAAATTAGCGATTTGTGTCTTTGCACAAAGGTTGACTACATCTTGTTTTAATTTTAGGCCTGTAAAGCTTTGGAAATCAATGTTTCGATTTACACACGCTGTTTCGCAGCTCGAAGTATCCAAACGAAAACACAACCAAGATTTTATCCAACTAATTTAAGTATAAAATAGTTTAATCTTCAATGCTGAGGGCCTTGATCGTGGAATGCTGCTGAAACGCCGCAGGGGGGAGGATGTATTAGTAAAATTCCTCAGGCAGGGACGGGGCACCGACTTTCCGAAGCTTTAATGGGCTAAATATCTTGGAGCCGGGATAATTTGCAGAGGTAGGGGCCTTAAGTCGCGCCATTTGCCGACGATTCACGGCACAACCGATGCGATACGCCTATTAATTTGCCGGCGCGGACCAGCTTTGTAAATCCACTTTTGTTATTAAACATGATTAACAAAGTAAATTTAACGTAAGATTTCTAGTATTTATCAATATTAAAGCCCCATTACAAATCCTCTACTAAGCATAGGCCTTGTCCATAAATTACTACTAGATACTTAAAAACTTTAATAAAAAAATTAAAATTAAAAACTTTAATTATCAAAAAGTCTTACCTCCCGTAGTATCATGCCAAGAACGCTGACAGTGTTACCTCGCCGAATGGCTATACTTAGCCTTTAAGCGAGAAAAGAACAGGCCTCCTTATCACCAGCAGCGACGACCATTAGCCGATACAGTTCCTATAGGAAATTTACCGCACGTGGACCCCACGGACCGATAGTCTTTACGGCAAATGGCTCAAACAGTCGTATTTAGTCATCTTTCAGACTCATATTTGCACCACTTACTTAGCAGCTGCCTCGGATACCGCCCCGGCTCTGAAAAAGGTACCCCTGAGATGAGAGGCTGTGAAAGTATCTACGCAAAACAACTTAACATAAACATAAACACTCACGCATGTCACCCAGAGGAGTAGGTAGAGACTACGGACTTCTACGAAAAATAAAAATAAATTGTATCAAATAATGGCAATAAACTTTTATGGGCATTGAATAAGGATACTTTATGTGAAATTCACATTATAACAATTTGTAAGTCGAATTTTTATCATCGAGAGTTACGACCCAAGTTGGGAAAACGTGGATAAAAAGAGATTATAAATAAAAGTCTTGTGATTTAAAATTCAAAGAGTTTTGAAACAAAAAACATTTGTCATTACAATGATGAATTATAAGTGATTTATCACATTATTTTGGTCATATTTTTGGCTTTGAGATTTTTCAAGTTATTCACGTAGCAAAGAATATTAATAATAATAATAATAATAATAATAATAATAATAATAATTGTTTATTGCCCCTAAAAACAAAACAGTTACAGACACGCCAAAACAAAAGAACATTATAACTATTTGAGACAAAAGGAGACGGCTCAGCTTTGTCTGTAACGAGATACATATCTCATCACAGAGCTGTTTTTCAGCCGCTCCCTCCTCCCTGAGGTGTTGTGCGGGAGTCCAAAGTAGCAGGCTCCCCATTTACCTAACTTATACTTTTAAACTACGTACAAAGTAATAAAATGTGATAAAAACGTAAATACAAAAAAAAAAAGAAAAAAAAAAAAAGAAAAAATTAAAAACATTAAAGACAAAATATAAACATTTAAAAAATATGCATAAAAACAACCATTACGAAATGAACTACAACAGATTTAAAAAAAAAAAAAATATATATATTTATATATATATGTGTGTGTGTGTGTGTGTGTGTGTGTGTGTGTGTGTGTGTGTGTGTATGTGTGTGTGTGTGTGTCCTTATTAATTTTTGGCAAAAAAGTCCCGTAAATGTAATAACTTAACATAGGGATGTTTCAAATTCTCTGCAGCGAGTTGTCTTTTTAACAGAGCCTTTTTATATTTGGCTTTGAAGCAATCTATTGACATTTTCTTTCTCATGGGTGGAGGGAGGTCATTCCAAATTCTCGCTGCAGTGAATTTGAAACAACTCCTATATCTTGCTGTTTTGTGTGCGGGTGTGTGAAGGAGCATTTGTGTGTGAGAACGAATACTTCGACAGGAAATATCTTTGATCCAGGTGAGTTTTTCGAAAAGGTATTCTGGTTTTTTGTTCCAAATTACCTTTTGGACTATCGAAGCATAGTGTAATTCTCTCCTGGCGCCCATATTGAGTATGCCTTTTTTATTTAAGTATGGGGTTATAAATTGTCTTCTTGGTACATTACAACAGTATCGAACACATGCATTTTGTACTCTCTGTATTGCTCTTTCGGTATTAGCTGACAATTTAGGGCCAAAGACTGAGCTGCAGTAGCTCAATTGTGATAACACCAATGAGTCACACAAAAGAAAGCGTAGGTCCTCTTTGATATACGGTCTTATTTTGTATAATGTTTTAAGTTTAAAGTACGAACTTCTTATCTTGTTATTGATGTGTTCTACAAATTTCTGCTCTCCGTCTAGTATAAGCCCTAAATTACGAGCGGATCTTACTTGTTTCAAGGTTTCATCTTCTATTTTAATCGTATCCTCGCTGTCTAAAATAGTTTTTATTTGGTTTTTTGTGCCCAAAACTAGTACTTGTGATTTAGTTGCGTTTAATACTAGGGAATTTTTTTGGGACCAGGTTTGTATATTATGGAGATCCTCATTTATTCTGTTTATTGCCTCTTTAACATCCCTGGGGTCAAAAGAATAATACAGCTGGGTGTCGTCTGCGTATAAATGGTATTTACAATGTTTTATTTGCTTAGGCAGGTCTGCTGTGTACAGAGAGAACAAAATAGGACTGAGTAAGGAGCCTTGGGGTACTCCCCTTACAATTTTCCGTAGAGAGGAGAATTTCTTGCCACCATTGCATCCATCTGTTACCACAATTTGTTCTCTGTTGGATAGGAATGACTGAAACCATCTACATGTGTCTTTAGAAAAGCCATAGTGCTCTAATTTATTTAAGAGGATTTCAGGTTGTAGACAGTCAAATGCCCGCGTGTAATCCAACAGCACCATAATACTGCTCAATCCCATATCGGAGGCCTCTATTAGATCGTCAGTGACATTTAAGAGGGCAGTTTCCGTGCCATGCCCTTTTCTGAACCCTGATTGAAATTTTGGTAAAGGGTTATTCGTTTCTAAGTAATTTAGCATTTGAGAAAGTATAATCTTTTCTAAGACTTTAGACAACACAGGGAGGATCGAGATAGGGCGCAGATCTTTTAGTTCACTTGCTGTGTTCTTTTTAGGAATGGGCTTGACTAGAGCTCTTTTCCATTGCGTTGGGAATGTACTGGTGTCGATCGACTTGTTTACTATAAACGTAATAATAGGGAGAGTTACAGGTAAAGTTAATTTGAGCATTTCAATATTTAAGTTATCGTGCCCTGCGGCTTTTGTTTTTATTTTATTGATAATCTTACTGATTTCTATTTCATTTGTCGGGTTTAGGTCGAATAGGGTATCGTGTGAGCATCCGTTACATACTTTATAACCTTGTTTGAGTTCTGGTTTGTCACATGGCGGCAAGTCTAGAAAATAGTCATTAATAATATTCGGGTCATTGAGATGGTGTGGAATTGTATTTAAATGAGTAGTTTTAATTTGTGCAGCATTTTTTATATTACGCCACAGCGACTTCGGATCTTTTAAGTTGTTGTTTATACAATGGTTAAAGTAAGCTTTTCGTTCGCGTTTACGGGTTGCTGTGACTAAATTTTTAAGGGTTCGGTAGTATTCATTTGAACAATCTTTTTTATCCTTCTGGGCTTTTTCTAACGCATCGTCACGTAAACTCATCATGAATAGCAACATATCTGTAATCCATGGCTTTGGTTTGTCCCTTATCGTCAGCGTACGGACAGGCGCATGAGCATCAAATAATTGGCCCATATATGCGTTGAATGTTTGAACCATTTCGTCTACGTTCTCTAGATTATAGATAGAGTCCCAGGGTATAAGTTTCAGATCTCTTGCGAAAGCATCAGAATTAATATTTCTTAGTAATCTCTGTTGTTTTACTTGTTTATAAAATTTTGGTTTTCTTATGTCCAAATCTACCAGCACCAATGCATGATCACTAAGACAACGATTGTGTATAAGTTTAATGTTTTTGCATCTTGAGGGAGTGTTAGTCATGATGAGATCTAAAATAGTTTCAGTCTGATCAGTGACTCTCGTTGGTTCTTTGACGAGTTGTTCAAGGTTATGTTGATAGCAGAATTGCATTATATCTTTTGCTCTATTGCAATGTTTGTTAGTCATATCTACGTTAAAATCGCCAAGTATGCAAGTGTAATCGCATTGTGCCATTGAATTCAGGGAGTCACTCAGAGCGTCCAATGTTTCTGTAACACCAACACTGTTAGGTCTGTAGGCCGTGCCAAGGGCCATTGAAGCTCCCGGGAGTTGAATTTCTAGCCACATCTGCTCTAGAGACGACGCTGGGTGTTGCCGTACTTTAATATTTATTTCCTGCTTAATATAGAAGCCTACACCTCCTCCCTTTTTTTGTTGCCTACCTCTATGCACAAACTTATAATTTGGTATTATAGGCGCAAATTCACCTTCTCCATCTTTTAACCACGTTTCATTTATAGCCAATATATCAGGAGTGTGATTACGGACAGCCACAAGAAATTCATCCTGCCCAGTATTCAGAGATCTGGCGTTTAATAGACCTATTCTTAGATATTTATTTTTAATACTAACCATTTAGGATATAATAACTTGATATGATAATAATAAATATTTAAAGTAATATAAAACTTGTGATGAATAAGTGGGTTGTGTACGGTGGTGTCATAAAGTGTGATTGATGTGCTAGTTGTTTGTGTAGAAATAGTCTCAATTACAGATTTCAGGAAGTAAATTTAAAAGAAACGATTAAATACATTCTTTGCATGATATCAAAACACATAAAAAAATAGTTAGTTGGTGTGTATGGGATGGAAAGATATCAGCTGTCATTATAGTTAAAAACCTTTGATAAGTCCATTTCATTTCTAATCCGGATCCGCGGTTTCCCTTGTTCCTTGCGCACAAATATCTTTCCCTCCCGTACCCATACATATTTGAATTGTACTTCGCGGGCAAGGGAGCGTGCTTTTTGAAAGAGTTGACGGTTAAATCTTGTCAAGCGTTCATTAAGATATAACAGTTTGGTGGATCCAGGTAATTCGAGGCCATCGCTGTTGAGATTACGTCTGGAGCGCGCAGCTTGAAGCAGGCCGTTCCGTGTATCACGGCGTGCGAGGCGCACGGCTATAGGTCTTGGGCGCGGTGTTGTGCTGTCCTGTTTCGCCGGACGAAGTGGGCCCACGCGTTCTGCTGATACGATGTCTTTATCGTCCAACTCCATACCAATTTTCTTAGCGACCGTCAGAATAATATGGGTGCAGTTTTCATTGGGTGTTTCTGGACAGCCAGCTATTTCTAGGTCGTTAGAGAGTAAGGTTTGGTCTCTTTCCGCAATATCAGCCTGTAGCTGCATTACGATGCGCTCAATTGGATGGGTTTGGGCAGGCTTGGTTTCCGACTTACTCTCCAATATCGAAACTCTAGCTTCCAGTTGCTCAATCCGGCTGTTTTGGTCTTTAATGGTATTTGTAAGACTACCGATAGCTTTTTGTACTCTGTCCATTTCATCGTGTAATAAATTTTTCATGTAGATTTTTAAGTCATTCAGAATATCCGCGTAAGAGTTGATGGTGATGTTCTCAACGCCTTGTACTAGGTTGCTCGTCTCACTGAGTGGGGGTGGATTTAACACCTTGGATCGGACCGTTACATTGGGATTGCCACTCTTGAGGACATGCGACACGGTGGATGAATCCGTTCGTAGGTTTGTTCCTCCCTCTAAGATTGCCGTGGTGCCTCGCACAGGGGTGTTAGAATTGCCTTTTTTTGGTAGTTTGCTTAGACATTCCGGGCATTTCCAATGTTCTTTTTTTCGCTCCATTTGACGAAAGTTCTTTGGGCTGATGTTTGCACAATCCAGATCGTATTTCCCCTTGCATTGCATACATTGTAGAAAGTCTTTATTCGTTATAGAGTTTTTGCAGCCGGCACAATTTTGAGAGTTATTCATTTTAACAGTTTTTATTTATCCTTTATTAAACTATAATTCTGCTCTTTATACAGTTCGTATCAATCGTTTCCTTCAAATTCCCTCCCAGAATCTTAGGAAAATTTTAATGAAATTTCATTATGAAAAAAATAAGAATAAAAAACAAAAATACAATCCAGATAATACTAAAAAAAAAAAAAAAAAAAAAAAACTACACTGAGATTTGAAATCTAGATCGACGGAGTTCAGTCCATGTCGTTGCACACTAAGCTACGGAAACTTGTAAGTTATGAGTGAAAAATGTGATTGCTTGCTTCTAAGTCCGTAATTTGTCACTAGTAAGCAACAAGAACCTGAGTCATCAACGCTCGCAGCTAATCGCTCGACACTCAATTCACTTTAAGTCTTTAACCAACGGACACTTGATTTTTATTTAAATTTGTAAGCGAATGCACACATTTGATTTAGCACTTTTCGTTGTTTTTTCACCGTTAATTTATGGGAGTGAACTTTAACTTTGTATTAACACTAATTTTAATAAGAAAAACGCCATACGAACTATTTAATTGGATTTTTGTTTAGAGAGACATAGACTGTACGTGTTAACAGATCCGCGGTAGGCGGGGAGCCTCTATTATATTGTTCATTGATTTATTTATTGGATGCTTAAAACTTTTTATACAAATAAAATTGAAGTGTCTGTATGTAATACTTAAATAACTGGCTTCTATTAATCTCAGGGGCTATTTGCATGCTAATATGACATGAAAACCATTTTAAAGTTTTTGTCTGTGTCTGTGTATGTCTGTCTTACCGTGCTAATTTTCTGTTTGGCTGAATCGATTAAGTAGAGAAAATTGGCCTTAAGTCGCGCCATTTGCCAACGATTTACGGCACAACCGATGCGATACGCCCATTCATTGTAAATCCACTTTTGTTATTAAACAAGATTAACAAAGTTAATTAAACGTAAGATTAAGCTCAATTACAAATGCTCTACTAAGCATAGGCATCGTCCATAGATTGCTGCTAAAAAAAAACTCAGTCGTAGATAGCATATCAGAAGTAAAAACTTTTATATTCACAAATATAATAGGTATCGCATTGTTACCTGCGACGAAACATAGATTCTGTTCAACAATTGCAAGTGCTCAGCAAGTTGGTAGGATTCTGGTTCAGCACCTAAACAATGCCCTAAATGAGTCTAGCGCCGGTATGATCCATTATAGCTTTTTACCACAAGGAATGAGCAGTACTGCAATTGTGTACTGTGGAGAACTGAACACAATGATGGAGAAGCTAGCACGTCTCCAACCAGCTTTGGTCAATCGCTAGTCCCCGCTGCTCCTGCACGACAACGCACGACCTCATACTGTACAACAGACAGTCTCCAAGTTACAAGAGCTAGAGTTGGAAGCACCGCACTCAACAGACCTAGTGCCTACACACTTCTACTTTTTCCATAATTTTGATAACTTTTTGGCGGAAATCAATTCAATATCCGGGAGGCAGTACAAAATGCCTTGGAAAAATTTTTTGCCTCCCGTGCAGCTGATTTCTTCAAGAACTGTACAACCGACTTGCTTGTAGCAAGGGCATCAACAAACTGCCACTGCGTTGGTAAAGATGCATCGATTGCATGGGTAATTATATTGATTAATAGAAATAAAAAATATGGAAAAAGTGTATGTTAACTTTTTTTATAAAAAAGGTCAATTTAATAGGTAAAGACCAAATATATAATACACACATATTTGTGTATGAGCGTGACGGTCACGCGAATTCAGTGCTTTTTTCCCATCCCAGAAGTTTTCACTTGAAAAAACTTAGATCATCTTTTGTTTACTCATGAATAAAATAATAATAATGTCCTAAATACCGAATTTTGGTCACGGCGGCCGGTCTCAAAGGAACCATCGGCGCAAGACAGGATTATAGTACCCAAGTGAATGCGCAAGCACAGGTGCACTCTCGTTTCTCTCACTCTCATAGTCCGATAGGGCGGTAAGCCGACACAATACAATAATATAGTACAATAATGGTGACTTGACCTTACGTACGTGCATACATAGACACCCTTACCATAATGTCATCGTCTATATCTAATCATATTTTATTATCTATACTAAGTTGTGAGACTCCTATTATGCCTAGGATTCCGTATAGGTAGGTACCATCCCTTTACATATTCCTGGAACATTCCTGTGTTCCGGTCTGAATGGTAGAGTCAGTTAATTAGTGAAGAGGCATTCTATTTCCCTTGCAGTAAGAATATGCTGTATTTTATATTCTCCCCGAGCAGCACACAAGCGTTATGAACATCAATATACCAGCTCACATTGAACTTAGAGGTCTTTTAAATGCGTTTATGCGTGTTGAAATGAGGTTATACACTTATAAGAGTGGTTTATGAGTTACTATACAACTCAAGCTGTATGAAGTCTGTATTATGGGATCTAAGTAAATTTAGGGTTCTTAAATAGAATATGAAATCTCTTGTATACAACTTTAAATATTTTGTAACACTTCAATCTGATTTTATCATTAAATCTGTAATATAGGAGCTGCTTTTTTGCATACTGTACCTTGCTTATACAACTCTAAGTGTTATTAATGTATCACTATAATCTTACTTCTGGACAATTTTGGATGCAAACTCTCTTCTAAAACTTATTCTTATGGATATATTCTATATCTATATTATATTCTTATATATATTCATTGTACACTTTTGTAAATACAGTAGTTTTATGACTTCTTTAGAGTGATATAAAAAAAAAAAAAATAACAGCCATAGTACAACTTAAATGTGTTTAATGTTTGAGATATCTTTATTTCTCATAAGAATTTACAACAATTCACTTACAAGAAAAAGTTTAAATATTTGCAAACAAATAATAATCTTATCCTAGGCGTACACTATTATGTCGAAATCATTTCACTTAAACACATTTAAATCGAAAGTATACATTTTAAATAATTTTTATTTCTAAGTATAAACAAAATACAATGTAGATTAACAGGGTACTTGTAAAAAAACTAACATAAACAAGGAGCAAACAATGCTTGGACGCGCACCTTACACAGATCGAGCGTAGCTAGAAGTGACGTGTGAAATAGTGAAACTAAGGTGCGCTCAGATTAGATGTTAAATAATATTTTAAGTGCTTTCTAAAGGTTGGCATTGATTTTGCTTCTTTAATATTTTCGGTAATTGGTTATACAATTTCGCACCTTCGTACATTAATTTTTTTTTTACCATAATTAGTTCTTGGGGTTAAGAGGCAGTTTAAGTGACAGAATATCGCCATTTTGCATGCGCTGCGTGTTTATATTGTGCTAGTGAACAAAATTAATTTATTATCAATATGTGGCAAAAAAAAAAGATTTGGTGAAGTAAAAAGACTACGTTAAATCTAAATTAAATTTATAGAACACTTTTCCAAGACAAGATTTTTTTCATCTTTTATACGTATATCTAAAGAGAGTTATATGTTATGTTAAAAACTGCTATACAGCGTAAGTAATAAAAATATCCTATTATAGAACTGATTAAAAACCATACTGCATGATAATCCATAACATACATTGTACAGCTACTAAGAGGCCCTCGAAATAGCGTTTAGGCTGTTTAGCAATTTGTCGCCATTTTAAGACCCATAAAAACAAAATTAAAAATATAAATTTGGGAACATTAGACATTAATCTTAGCCTATACCATTATTCCAGTTTGACTAATGATCACTGTGCCCCAATGTGCCACCAATTTTTTTATTCTATATATTTTTATTCTTGTTGGTTTTTACCAGGACAGAGGGTTTTTTTCGAACCAGTGGTAAAGTAAAAAATGAATTTCAATAAGAATTACACAACATGTAATGTATATTAAGAATAAAAAAATATTCTATTTTATTCTAACGTATACAGCCGATATTTAGTTACAGTATTTAGTATTTTGTCCAAATAATATTATTCTGTTATTTGCTGGCGCGGCAATTTTTCGTTAGAAAACATATCCAAGTTTAAAGTAAATCTAATTTGGCACGTTCAATTCACCAATTATTATCGTCAAACTCAACTCGAATTCAAATATAATATTAATATGTTAAATATATTAAATGTCGCCATCATTCAATAAACGTTCTTTTTGTTTTATATTCATTTGTAATCCCATTCAAAAACCAATTTAGAACCTTTGTCTTTATAAGTTACTTTAAGACAATATCTCTAGTGTAATAGTTATCTTGAACACCAAATAATAGCTGTAATACAGTAGTAATACAGCCTCTTTTATGCTTGTGCAACTAGTGTACAGAGCTACTAATGCATAAAGCTGCTTAATTTGTGCCAATTTTTTACTTATAAGAACTGTATAAGCGCTTATACAGCTTTTATACAGTCAGAAAATACAACTTCTGGTATAAAAGCGAACTTTAATACAGCTCGTATACAGCTTGCATGCCCGTGGGTGTCGTAAGAGGCGACAGAGACAAATAAAATAGAAGAAGGCAGCAGCGTCTTACTAATAAAAATTTGAAAATAAAAAGCTGCAGTTGCCAAGCGTGGTAAATATATCTCTTACGAGGCAAACTAAGAGGGGCCCTATATTCAGCTGTGGCAGTATTTAAAAAATGAAATGCATTCTATTAATATATAGCTATATCTTTGGCACACTGTGTAGCTCAAACGGCTTGATGAACTTTGGTATATAGAGTGTTGCTAGATTTGCCTTACTTGTGAAACTGACATAGGATGTAAATATTTCTCTTTTCTGTAAACTTTTTTTACGTAGACGGGTTTTTTAAAACATTTTTAACCATATGGCTTGTTAAAGTTGGTTGCTGGTGTCAAGGCTGCAGTATTCACTTACTAGGTCGACTGTTTGATGGTTTGGCATTTTATCATAAGTTAGAAGGGTGAAAATATTTTCCAAAATATTAGAATTATATATACATACACACACACACACACACACACACACACACACACACACACACACACACACACATATATATGTGTGT